TGTGTATATATATATATATATATATATATACACACACACACACACACAACATAATTTTTGAATAACGTAGATGTTTACAGATGTTTTTAGTTTGCTTTTTAAGGAAAAGTAGCACACATTTCCTACTCTAGTTGATTTAGAATTTATTCTTTGTATAGTGTGCAGAACTTTTCTTGTTCTAAGAGATCTATTCTGTGTGTAATCTTTGAGCATGTTAGCAAAGTGGGAATTAGCTATCCATTCATACATTTAAAATAAAGTAATAAAAGAAAAAAATCCTTTGTTTTACTGGGAACAAGTAAAGAGAACACAAAACAGCGGTCAAATCTTTTAGTTTAGTTCATCTTAGTTAATACTCTGTTTGCAACAACACATGACCTTTGTTTAAAATGTATCATCTAATGATGTGAATTGCCTGAAGTATATTTTTTGACAATTTATTTTGACACTGACTACAATCTCATGTTGCAGGACACTGATGACTTTGAGGAAATTGAACAGCTCACTGTGGCAATCACTGTTAGAAACTTTGGAGCTTCGACAAGTGACAGAACAAGAGACATTGCTGTTGTTATTGAGGGTGTTGAGGTCATCAGAGGACTTGAAAGTATTGCCAGGTTTTGCTCTCTCCTCCTTGGCCTGACCTATGCACTGAATCTCACTTATCCCAAGCCGCTGAAGTATACATTTGAAGTATTCCAAAAATTTTTCTTGGAACTGGATGCTTCAAAGCTGTCTAACAAGGTGCAGTCCCTGAAGAATAAACATCTGGCTTGAAGTCACTGTGTACCTACACAGTATACATACATTCAGTGCTAACACTTTTTTCAACACATCCAGTTCAGTATTCTCCGAAGTGCTAAGTTTTGTGGTGCAAGTTAGAACTGATTTTCACCCGCACTACTGCGGCCAGAGATCGACTTTCTTTTGACTTTCTTTTTTAGCTGAAATTGAGAACTTCAATTCTCAATTCAAATTGGTTATTCTAAATAGTTCAAGTGTTTGTGCTGAAGTGTAAGGACAAGTCAAGTGTTAGTGTTGGAGTGTAAGGCCAAGTTTAAAACAAAACAAAAGAATCCTGTAACTATGTCTGTGACATTCCATTCTTTGGTTTTCTTGAGTGATTTGAGTGGTATGTATTTTATTTACAAGTGGTATTTATTTTATTTATTGGGCTTGTATTTATTGTTTACTTGTTTTGTAATTGTATATTCATTATATGTATGTATGTGTCACGCCCAGCTCCGTCCGATCCTAATGTGTGCCACGCCCACCTCGTTACCTCTTGTTTTTGCCTGATTGTCATCACCTGTTGCCTATTCCTTTTGCCTTGTCTTGTGTATTTAGTCCGAGTCTCAGTCAGTCTTCCCCAGATTAGTCATTGTAGTGTCATGTATTGTTGTACTGTTTGGTGTTTCTTGCCAGTCC